GCAAGGGTGTGGAGGGTCAGCACGGAAGGTCTGGAAGAATGAGGGCGAGGGTAGGTCGGGCGTGTCCCCCTACACGGGAATGGGCATAGCAAATGCTCACAAAATTCACAAAATGCCCTGAAATTGTCCAAAAAATCGTCCCCAGACTATGTTCTGACTATCTTGGAATGCTCCTCCTCTACACCCTGCGCAATGCTTAAGAAGTCATGGGTTAAGAAATTCATAATCTCGGAATCTGAATAAAAAAACCCAACATTTCTATGAAAATCTTGGGATCTACATCGAAACGTTAAGAATAATCGAGACGCTGGCCGAAAACTTACGTTTTCTTAAGCATCGCCTAAGGTGTAATTAGAGGGACAGGCCAGACTTAAGCCTCGATCCTCCTCCTTCTTCGCCCCCCGACCCTCGTCGATCCTCGAGCCTCCTCGATGCTCGACCCTCCTCCTCCTCGATCCTCCTCGATGCTCCTAGACTTAAGCCTCGATCCTCCTCCTCCTCGATCCTCCTGGACTTAAGCCTCGATCCTCGACTCTCGTCGATCCTCGAGCCTCCTCGATGCTCGATCCTCCTCCTCATCCCCCGACCCCGCGGTCTTCCACGGGGCCCGGCGAGGCCAAAACAGCTCGGCCCAAAGACGTCCCAGCGCCTCCCGTACTTCCGGGATCCGAGCCTCCAAGACAGCCGAAGCGGCCCCCGAGACTCGAGTAGGGGATCGACTACAGAATTGATTTGCCCCAGAATTTATTCTTCTTGTCCAAGCCACAGGCAAAATCCGTAGAACTTTCGCAGATCTGCGAATCGTTGACGTGTTTTGGTGGAAGAGCCGACGTGAAAATCAATCTGGGGGTAAATCAATTCTGCAGTAGATCCCCCAGTCGAGAGACGGCTCCAAGTTAACGGGCGAAGAACGGTATAACACAAACTGTTTCGCTGTCGGGGGCGCCTGTCCCAGGGCGGCTGGAAAGTTCATACCCTTACGGTGGCACCGTAGGGGTATAAACTTTCCAGCCGCCCAGGGACAGGCGCCCCCGACAGCGAAACAGTTTATTTTATACCGCTCTTCGCCCGCTGGCCAAGGCGGAGCCCAGACCGGCGACATGTCGCGCCCTCGGCCTGAGAAGCGCTCAGGAGGCCCCCGGAGGAAGCCCCCCCCAGAAAGCCCCCAGGAAGCCTCCAAAGTGACCCCCAAGAAGCCCCAAGAGGCCCCCACGAGGCTTCCAGGCGGCCCCCACGAGCTTCCCAAGAGGCCCCGAAACTACCCCCCAGAGGCCCCCGAGAGCGTTCGCCGTCGTCGTCGCCGTTCAGGGTCGCCGGCATCGGCCGAAAGGCCTTCGCAGTCCCTAAGGATCAGCAACGAGGTGAGGTGAAGCCAAAGCTGGGGATGGGGATGTGTTCCAGGCTGGCACTCCCTCGGCACGCCCGCCATGGCCTCCTTGTTCTGAGCGGCTCCCGCCTCCTCTGCCCTCCCATTTTGGCTCAAGCGTTCGCACGGCGCAGTCGTCTCGTCGCTCCGTCGTCTCGCGTCGGGGCCTCTGCGGGATGGCTGTGCCTAGAGGGGCTCGCGCGCCGCCCGCTGCCGCCACCCTGGTGGAGGCGGCGGTCCGCGGCGCCGTCTTGGGAGGCGCCCCGCGCCGCACCGTCGCCGCCGTGGCCCGTTCGGCCGTCTCGGCTGCGCTGTTCGCGCAGCGCGCCGAGGCGCCCGCGGTGCCGCCGCGTGACGCTGCCGCTGGAGCCGCTCCTCCCGCACCTCGTGGTGATGCTCCTCCTGATCCTGGCCCTGGCGTTGCTGGCGCGGCGGCCGCCGTCCCCGCGGCGCGAGCCGCGAAGCGGCGGCGCCGCCGCCAGCGCCGCGCGGCGAGGAAGGCGGCGGCGGGTGCGCCTGCTGCTGGCGAGGAGAAGGAGAAGATGGACGTCGAGAAAGAGGCCGCGGGAGCGGATGCTGGCGCTGCTGGTGCGGGCCTCGTGCTCGCGCAGGTGGCGGTGGCCGCCGCCGACGATGACTCCTCCTCCGACGACGTCATGGGCGACAAGTGGGCCGATGGCCTGCATCGTGCGGCTCCCGCGGAGCCTGCCGCGGCGGCTGCTGGTGCGGCGGCCGTGGCGGGCGGAGCAGGAGACGAGACGATCGCGTCCACGATCACGTGGTACGAGCAGGAGCTCCTGAAGCCCCTCCCCGCGGTCGTCAGGGAACGCTTCATGGCTCAGCTGGCGCGCTGTCGCGCTGGCGCCTGTGGCAGTGGCCCCTCGTGTTCGTCGTGAGGCCGTCCCTGACCGGGCAGGGAGGGGTCGCAGTGGGAGACGGTGAGGGCCTGGCCGTTTCGCGGCTGGCCCGCCGTCCCTCCCCCCTCCCTGCACATGGTGGTGCTCGTCGGCATCTGTGAGTCCGACGACACGGTCGGGGACCTGGCACCTCAGGTGGTGACCAGGTCCCCGCGGTCGCGCCCGCTCGGCGGGCGCGCTTAGTCTCGCGAGACTCTTCCCCTCGGGGCTGTCCTACCTACCTACCTCCTCTGCCCTCCCCGCGTCCTCCTCCGCCCCTGCGCCTCAACCCGTCCCTGGCGTGCCCCGCCCGTATACCCCGACCGGCGCCTGCACCAGCCTCGACTCGCTTGCGCCGGCTGACTCCAAACAATCCTCCAGGCTGGCAGGCCAAAGATCCGATGTCGTGATTCTTCCAACGCAGGGCCCCGGGAAGGGTCCAACCCCTTCCCCGGGACCGGCTTCTCACCCTGCGTCGTTTTGTTGACGGTCCCGAAACTGCGCCAGGCCTCGTTCCACGTTCCTCGTTCCTCGTTGGCGCCTCCTGGCGCCAGAGGCGCCCATGTATCCAAGAGTGGGCCCTCGGAGGGGCCGAAACCAGCTGCACGCAGCAGATTTCGTACCCCCCCCTCTCCCAATCGCCCCCTCTCGTTCGGCCTCGTTCCTCGTTCCTCGTGCCTGGCTCCTCCTCCTCCTCCTCCTCCTCCTCCTCCTCCTCGTGCCTCGTGCCTCGTGCCTCCCTCCTCCTCCTCCTCCTCCTCCTCCTCCTCCTCCTCCTCCTCCTCCTCCTCCTCCTATGGCAGTGGTGGTGGGAAACTGGCCCAACAGAACCGAAACCGCCCTAAGTGGCACCTAGAACACTTGCATATGGCACATCGAATTTGTCCGTTGGCTTCGACGCAGCGAAGCCTTGAGCCGATGAGGACGCAGCTTTCTTGGACAGAACCCTGACGATATCTTGGGACCACAGGGGTCATCTTGGAGCCATGAAGATCGCCACGGCCCCTCTCTTGGGCCGTCTTGGGGCCATCGTGGGCCGTCTTGGGGCCCTCGTGGGGGCCTCTTGGGCCGTCTCGGAACGAGCTTTCGGGCCTCTTGGGCCGTTCTTGGCCCGAAGAAGCGACTAATAATATGATTACGACTACACCTACCACTACTACTATGCTACTGCTACCACTATACACACGCAATACGGCGATTACTCATACCACCACCGCGAACATGACATTATTGTGCTGACGTGGCCTGACATCTCCGCATAATCCAACAACCATCACCATCGTTTGCGTGGCCTTCATATCCATTCGTTCCCGTCAACATTACCGCTGACATCATCATGACTTGCATAGCCTTCAATATCACATCGCGCCACATAGATATATCGCGCCACATCTATTGCACCGCGGAGCTTACACTACAGGCTCACGCCGCACTGATTGCACCACGTCGATTGTAGTACATACCACATCCACTGCTTAATGACTCAGTGGCCGACGCTAGTACATGCACACTATATGTGCATGCGCGCACGCCCATCTCGTCATGCCGACATTCACCATCACACGTCGCCCCAGGCCCAGTCATCAGGGAACGTCCCGTCGACATCCCGCTGTCATCATCGTGACCTGTCTTCACCATCACCTCAGTCCATAGCTGTCCCATCAAAGCGCATGTGTTGCAGCAGCAGGTTTCCCGGGGAGGTAATCCAATGAGCCTGACCCCCCGGGGGGGGGGGGGGGGGTCAGGCTCATTGGCTTATGTTGCGCATGCGAGAGTCACGAGGGGCCCCCCTTGGACACCGGCCGAGCCCAATGAGCCTAACCCCCCCCCCGGGGGGTCAGGCTCGTTGGATTACCTCTCCGGGAAGCCTGCTGTTGCAACACATGCGTTTTGATGGGACAACAGCTATTGACAGACGTGATGGTAAGTCATGATGATGGCAACGTCGATGATGATGGGAATGAATGGAAGACTTCGTCGTCGTCGCGTCCAGAGTCCAAAAAAAGGCCCGACGCCGCCCTCCCGGGAGATTCCGGCGGGCGTCTCTCAACGAAGGCGACTTGCTCATTGGACACGGCCGGTGTACAATGAGCAACCCGGGATTCCCGGGGCCTCGGAAGCTCAATTCCGGCTTGGGCAGGGCCTCGGTGGCCTCCCGGGGTCCAATTTCGCTTGGGCCGCCGCCTGAGGGGGGTTCCCAGGGTCCAATTCCGGCTTGGGCCGCTCCTGAGGAGCCTTCCCGGGGCCCAATTCCGGCTTGGGCCGCCGGTTCCCGTGAAACGTATGCCTGCTGGCCGCCATCTTCCGAGATTGGTCACACTTGGGACCATTATGGTCCCAGGTGTGACCAGGTCCCGGCCTCCGACGTCTTGACGTTCCCCGCCGTTGCGGCGAGTCTCTGAGACCTGCCCAGAGACCCCCAGACCGGGCCCCCCGCAGGCATGGCCCAAGATGGCGGGATGACCCCAGCGCGGCATCGCGGCCCAAGATGGCCCCAAGACGGCCCAAGAGAGGGGCCCTGGCGATCCTCATGGCTCCAAGATGACCCCTGTGGTCCCAAGATATCGTCAGGGTTCTGTCCGAGAATGCTGCGTCCTCATCGGCTCAAGGCTTCGCTGCGTCGCAACCAACGGACAAATTCGAGGTGCCAGATGCAAATGTTCGAGGTGCCACTTAGGGCGGTTTTGGTTCAGCAGAGAGAAGCCGGCGGCGGCGGGGCGGGGGCGCCCGCACGGTCCTCACCTCCGACACCACGTTCTCGGGCGTGAGGTTGGCGAGGGCCACCGGCGCCTCTCGCGCGCGCGCGGCCGGCCCCCGTTGTTTTTTTTTGTTGCGCGGCCGCCGCCGCCGCCGCCCTTCGGGAACGGTGGTGGTGGTCGTCGTCGTCGTCGTCGTCGTCGTCGCCGTCGTCGTCGTCGTCGTCGCCGTCGTCGTCGTCGTCGCCGTCGCCGTCGTCGTCGTCGTCGTCGTCGTCACGTCGTCGTCGTCGTCGTCACGTCGTCGTCGCCGTCGCCGTCGCCGTCGCCGTCGTCGTCGTCGTCGTCGTCGCTGCCGTCGCCGTCGTCGTGGTCCTCGTCGTCGTCCTCGTCGCCGCCGCCCTTCCAGGCTAGCGAAGGCCCATCTGGAACGCACTGGTCGGTTCAGTAGGGCCCCGGCCATAGGAAGCCTTCCGCAAGAAGCCCAGCCCCGAGACGCCAGGACGCCCGTTGATCTTTAAGGTGTGGGGACGTCGCGCTTCCCCATGGCGAGACCATCGCAACCGAAAGAAGCCGAGGGCAGCCTGGAGGCAGGCAGAGTGTTTCTCGGCCTGGGCCTCCATTCAGCGCCCCTCAAACGGGGACTCCACTAACGGGTGCTTTGGCCAGTGACCCAGCGAACCCAACCCTTCCCGATGTGGGCAAAGCTGCAATGCAAGAAAAAGGCCCTAAAGTGGCAACTTTCGGCAAAAATTCAAAGTACCCGTTAGTAAGTATCCGTTACGGTGCCGTTGATCCATTGTAGGGCTTCGCAAGATCCTGCAGGATCCTGCAGGATCCTGCACGGCTGCCCGGATGAGTGCGCTTCTGGCTCTGCAGGATCCTGCAAGGTCCGGCGCTCTGACTGGCCCCCCGTTGCACGGACCCCCGTCTCTTGAGCCCCGAGCCCAAGGGATCGAGCAGGGACTGGCCGTCTCGGCATTCATATAGGCCTACCACGAGGTGCTCTCAGGACAAACGAGTGTTCTAAGTACCAGACGCGACGCTGTTCTTAGGACAGAAAGCCGATGCTCTGAACAAGAACACGGTCAGAGCCAGAGGACATCTCGTGCACAGCAGCTTCTTAGAACATCCCCTGGTGGGCCCACGGACAGTCCAGGACGCCTCGCCACTGCTGGAGGGGAGGGGGATGAAACTGGCCCTGGGCGCCCGTCCCCCAAACGGCACCGGGGCGTCCGAGCGGCGCCACCGAGAGGCCCGGCCCCCCAAGGAACCCCCACCGAGAGGCATCCGAGAGGCCCCCACGACCACGAGGCCCCTGAGGGTCTCAAGCAGCCTCGAGCTTATCCAGAAGATGGAAAGGCCAAAAGACGACGTCCATCGTAGGGATGCGCCCTCGAAAGCCGAGAGAAACCTTGAGATGGGCATCGAGATGAGGCGATGCCAACCGTGAGGATAGGAGTGTGTCCCAGGCTCGTAGGACCACCCGAAGAGGCCCTGAAGCCCTCCAAAGGCCCCCAGGGAAGAACCTCGCGGCAGACCAGCGCGGCACTCGAGCGGGGCAAACCAGCCAACACCCAGACCTGACGCGCTCCAGGCGTGCACCCCGCGAAGCGAGGGACATGATACGCGAAGCGAAGCCCTGTGCCAGGCCAGGGCCATCCTGGCCCTATGATGGCCCTGGCCTGGCAGAACAGTGGTGTAGAAACGCCTTCGTCGGAGCATCAGCTCAAGATCGGGTCCCGGACCCCTCCCAGGCTCCATCCTGGCCAGCTGTCCAAGCTGCATCCAGCCGTGGCGACGACGATCTCCCAGAGTCGCCCGCGAAAGACGCCGCACGCGCCAGCCGCCTCGGGCGCGGACCCCCGCCAGAACTGGCCTCCGCCGCGTTTGCCCCGGCCGCTGCTCCCGTGTCGGACGGGAGGTGGGGGGTGAGGGGCAACGATTGGGAGGGACTGGCATAGGGGGGAGATGCTTCGACCTGGAATCGGCGATACGTCGCCGATAGATCGGCGATAGGTCTCCGATAGTGAGCCCGCGCCTTCCTGGGCATGCTGGGGCCATCGGGCCCTGTCGGCGATCAGCGGGCGATTGGGGTCGATGCATCCCCCCCTGTGCCTATCCCCCCCTTCCAGCCCTGCAGGATCCTGCAAGATCGGGCGCTCCAGCTGACCCCCTCGCTGGTCGGCAAGGATTGCCAAAAAAGGATTGCAACAAAAACCGAAGGATTGCAAAAAAACCAAAGGATTGCAACAAAAACCTTGGGGGCAAAGGATTGCAAAAAAAACCAGGTTTTTTTTTGCAATCGTTCGGGTTTTTTTTTGGTGCAATCCTTCGGTTTTTTTGCAATCCTTCCTTCAAGGGGGGGGGCCGCGGGCCGGTCCTCGGGCCAGCCCTCTCTTGTGGAGACGGGGCCCTCCCAGACGGGCCGCGCGCCGACCCCCGGCGCCCCGGGCCGCCGCTCCTCGCGGCGGGGGTCGAACGAGGGGGGGGGGATTAGGAGGGAGGAGGAGGAGGAGGAGGAGGAGGAGGAGGAGAAGGAGGAGGAGGAGGAGGAGGAGGAGGAGAAGGAGGACGAGGAGCAGGAGGAGGAGGAGCAGGAGGAGGAGGAGGAGGAGCAGGAGGAGGAAGAGCAGGAGGAGGAGGGGGGACGAGGAGGAGGAGGAGGAGTGAATGAATGAAAGACGACTCTGGGCCCGCATCTCTCCCTGTCCCTGCTGTGCCGAGGCGGACTGAACAGCGTGCGGCAAGCTCGTGTATGTAATGCGTGTAAAACTCGTGGGATTGCAAGTGAAACACACAGGCGTGTAATATGTACGAGAGTGCACCCGTCGGACGACTAAAAAAGTCATGAGGTTCAGAAGGGGCCCAGCGGGCCCCGACGGGCCTGTAGACTGGGCCCCAGGGTCACGCGCACCGACGCGTAGGGCACGAACAGACCCCAGGGAGCAAGGACAACTAAGGCGTTAGCCAGAAAGAGAGGGCCAACAGGGGGGGGCGGACCTCGCGGTAGCGTGAAACAGGTGGGAGGCGACAACGATCCGTCATTAGATGATCACTTCACGCGGTCACCGTCCGATACGTAGTGCAGCGCATTGGGGAGGAGGCCGAAATTGAAGAAGAGCCTGCCCCGCGCTGCATATATGAATGCATGCACCCTACGCATGCTCACCTGCTATCTTTTGCGTCTACTGCGTTCTGTAGTATCTCCTCCATTGCGCCTGGTGGCGCCGCGCCCAGCGCCCTGCGTCCGCCGATCTCCTCGAGTGCCTTCTGGAGCAGGCCGCGGACTGTCAAGGGC